AGCTTTCTCATTTCAGGCACTATGGTAATTTTAACATAATCTAATATCACATTCTCATTTTTAACAGTTGTAGTTCATATTTGATTTATATTATATTACAAGTAAAATTTCTAAATATTTTTATAAACCTTCTTGTAGTTAAGTAATTTCCTTTTTGTTTTAACAAAGTGCAAGACTTCCTAATTATCCCTATGAAGCTCCTCTTCTGAGATTCTGCCCAGGATTCCATTTTGCTAAAACCTTTTTAGGCACAAATTTTGTCATGTAATGCAATAGCTGCTTATCCCAGCTTTGTGAGATCTGAAGATTTTTATCAACATGAGACCAAGTGTTATAATTAAGGAACACCACTAACTACTCTTCAAGTATTTGGAATGCCACTGAAATTTTCTCCATCTCTCTCGGTTTTCACATCGGTAGGCTGGGTAGAACAACATAATCATGGTAAAGATGAGGATAAGCTAGTATCTTATGTCAGACATTATACTAAGTGCATTACATATTAATACATATATGCTGAAGGAGGTACAATCATTAACCCTGCTTTTTTTCTGATGAATACACTAAAGGTTAAAAAAGAATAAATAATTTACCCAAAATAGAGTCGATAAAATGATAAAGCTAACCTATAGAAATGCTAAAGTTCATGTGAATATTAATTATCTTCTTCCTTCTGAGTCATCCATTGTTTAAACAGAGAAGTCTTTATTTCACCAATCCTCTACTCATGAGACTTAAGGTGGTTTCCATGTTTTCACCATTAACAAGCATTATCTTTGTGCACTTCTGAAATTAAATTTCTGGGAAGTAGAACTTCAGGGTAAAAAGTCATGGATTTTTTTTATTTTGTATGGCTAGTTTGTGCTATCACCTTTATAGTTAAAAATATTAAAAGATTTTTTGGGAATTGTATAGAATATGTCTTAGGTACGTCCTTAGATTCCCTCAGAGACATCAGCTCCTGAACCCCCAGTCGTGAGCTTTGCCTTAGGTGCCACCAATTCTGCTGGGCCCCTCACAGGTCCACCCCCTGGGATGACCAGTCAAATTCCTAGAAGAACCTCCTTCTTTGCTGCTACTATATAGCCAAGCCAACCAGGCTTGCACTCCAAGTTTTTGGCTTCTCCCACCATTTCTAAACTTGGATGAGTGGCTAAAAGGACCCAGAGGGTGCAACCTCAACATGTCAGTTTAACCCTCTGGATATGCACTCTCACTAATGGGAAACAGGAAGGTGGGGTGACACATGGCAGGCAGATAAAGGCTGTCCTTCCTTCTCAACTCCATATAGCCCATCCAGAAACATCTCACATAGCTGGGCCAACCTACCTGACCGACCGCTTTGGCCAGTGCAGTCCCTGGCTCATCTAAGACAATAAAGTTTATGAAAGTGTTTTGTAAATTACAAACCACTTTGGAAAGGGAAGGTATTTTTATTACTGTGATTTTCATTGTCTTCAAGAATACATGGGGCTGTATAGCCAGAATTTCATTTGGAACAAAATAATTAAGATTGCCTTTATATTTAAATTTCACTACTCTTTATCAGTCTAAGAAGGATTTTCAAACATTTTTGATCTTTCTGATTCTGTTTGCCTTCAGGGAAGTATAATTAATTATAAGCAGCATAGAAATAATACCAGCAGTGCATTTCAGTGCGTTCCTACGGAGGGCAGGCTGGAATAAGGAGTAGGATGACATGCCTGTGTACTCCGGTGTGCTCTGATTCAGCATGATGCATACCCCTGGTATGGGATTCCATAGTAATATTAGAAATATGAAATGAGGCAGAAGTAGGATGAAAGAAAACTAAGATAAAAGAAAATCAAGAACTTCCTAACTCTGCCCTACTTTCAAAGAATTATCTTCTATTTTACCAGATGTTATCTTTTCCAGTTCCATACACACACACACACACACACACACACACACACAAACTGTGGATAATTCATATTCGACTCAACCAACATTTACTAAAAGCCTAAAGTATCTTCCCCTTTTGTGTTCTGTTACAGCACCCAGTGCTTTCCATACTACTCTCTGTTGTTAATGCTTACTTAATTATCTGCCTTTCTGGCTGTACTCTGGGACAGCAGGAAGTTGTCAGTTCTTCCCTCTGTCATATTCTTGGCATTTAACATATTATTGAATTTTAAAAAAATGTTTCTTAAATGGTTAATGAAAGAAAGAATGAATGAAGAAGGAAGATGAAATGACCATTTATCTGGCCTTGGTTAAGTGTATAGTGTTCTATATATATCCTCAGGCACAAACTTCAGCTTAAAACGAAGTAGATACTTAATAAATAGATGCTGACCAATTGATAAAACAATTTTAAATTAATATAAAAATATCTAAAGTTTGTCTTCTAACAGCAGGGTTCAAAGTATTCTAAAATGTTCTCATTTACATTTACGGAACACAAACATATGAGAGTTACTGCTTACTTTTAGAAACTGAAGTTCTTAAGGCCACCCCATCGGATTGAAGGCATGCTGGAAAATGTTAAGAACTGGCTGGGGGATTTGAATCATCATCTGCTTCTCACAGCCAAGAAAGGTATTATGGTTCGGGGCCCACCCCATTTATATACAGAGAATAGCTTAGGGATAACTATTCATAACCTGGACTCTGCCTTTCTCGGAACATTTGTATGGAAATGCTACTGCATTTCCATGTACCAAAGAAAAGCATCCCAAGTTGGGCCAATGCTTATTTTGCCTATGCTACAAGCTAACTAAAACTCTGGATTATATCAATGCTTTCTTTGGTTTTATATATCTGTTCCTAGTATCTGATTTATTGCATTTATACTGTTCACATGGGAAGAGTAATACTTACAGAGATAAACCATTTTTCCTTCTTCTTGGTTGTTTGAAGCCAAATTATTTTTAAAGGATCAGAGGTCATTTGAGGCTCATTGGATTATCTCAAGTGCCAGATTTCCTCTTTATTTTTGATACAAGGAATGATTTTCTGCAATGGGCATTTAAAATTCATGGCTCCCAGGGCTTTAGCAATACTAGGAAAGGCCCCTGCTGGCAACCTTATTAGCATCTCTGCCTCTTGATTTTTATTTAATTTCTTTTAATATTCTATCATGATGCTGACAGACATTATGGAACTAAGGGTTACAGAGTGAGAACAATATTTCACTACATCATTAAGTCTGCAGTGAGTTAATAAATTGCTCATAGTGTGCTTTGAGTTCATATACAAAGAGGCTAAATGAAAACAAAATCACGGTTAATACAAAAGGAGAGAATATCGACATCAATTGTCCAAGTAGTACTTATACTAAAATGACAGTTTAGCACCTGGATTTTATATTTGTATCTACAAAAGAATGGAGTGGCTTTCCAATGGCAAAACAGGCATTTGGAAAACAGTCATTCTATTTTCTAAGCCCGAGGAAGTAGAAAGATGTTAGAAAATATGGATGTGATTTAAAAAAAAAACAAAACAGAAAACAAAAAACCAGTTCATTAGAATGTTGGCATTGATCAAAAAGCTGTCTCATGTTGGGGATGACTTTCAAATTTTACATCATATTCACATACAGCATCTCATTCTAGCTGGGAAGAATTTTCTGCCTTCACAGAAAACTTAAGAGTTCCCCAACCTCTTGGCCCCTCACCCCTCCAATCTACCGACCTGCCTCCCTGAGCACCAAGGGTACTCTAAAGCAGTGCTTCTCAAACTTTCCTGAGAACAGGAATCACCTGGGGATCAGGTTAAAATGCTAATTCATTGGGAAGGGCCCAAGAGTCTGCATTTCTAACCCATCCCAGCTGGTGCTGCTGCTGCTGCAGGGACTAAATAACCACCTATGAGAAAAAGCATCCTGAGATTAGTGTCCTAGGTCATCACAGAAGATTTAGACTGAAGTTAATCCAATACACATTTAATGAGATGCAACATTGTTCTTGTGTTAATTAATAAGTAGGCAGAAATAGTCAGCGATTTACAGACTCCACTTTATTTTCACAAAGTCAAGCCAAGCACTTCTACAGCTGATTTAAGAGCAAAACTAGGAAGCTGTGAAGAGCCCTCTAGGGATCTTGGAATCAATAAACTAAGGCATGAGCTCTTACTCTTTTTTAGGGGTCACCCACCCTTTTAAAAACTATAGGTACTCTCCCCCCAAAACTGTACACATAGCCAAACAAATAATTTTGCATATATCTGTTCCTGGACTCTTGAAAGCCCATATAAGAAAATAGTTTCAAGATATCTATTTGAGAAATCCTAACCTGAGGGTGTTCTAGGAGGTAGGGAAAACAAGGAAACAAAAACATCTTTAAACTCTCAATGGGATATTAGGCAGCTTTTAAATACAACTCGCATAGTAGAACTAAGTCAATTACCTAAAGGCACAGATTTAAAAATAAATAAATAAAAGGTGGGGAGAATTTAAGACTTTATGACAAAAGCCATGGGAAGTTCTCTGTAGCCCAAAAGATGATGAGGAACAAGAAAAGAAAAATAAAACCTTGTTTCAAAACCATCTTACCTCTTACATCTGGCCTGGCTATCCTGCCTCAGTCTCTCAATGACTGGCCTCTGGGCCAGTAGCCTCTGAATATCCAAGGGTGCTTGATAAAATGCAGATTCCTGGGCCAAACCCTAGATCAACAAATCTCTGGACACACAGTTCAGAAATTTGCATTGTATAAGCTCCCAGGTGATGCTTATGTACATCCTCAGGGTATATTAATGAAAGTAAGACACCTCCCCTGCCATTCAAAGACCAAAAAGGAATTATATTCCTATATATGGCTGCCTATAGAATAAGGAAGCAATTTGGGAATAGTGATCCCAAATACATCCCTGAGTTGTGCTCATGATTAGAATAGGCTTTTAAATGCAACTATCTTGGGGGAAATTAATTAATTAATTAATTTTTTAAATTCAAGATATTATGGGGGTACAAATATTTTCTTTACATGTAATGCATCTGCCTTGCCCAAGCCAGCTACAAGCATGTCCTTCCCCCATACAGTGCACTCCACTTCCATTAATTGTGGGTTTACCGCCCCCCACACCTGACCAGCACCCAATTAGTATTACTACCTTGTGAACACCTTAGTGTTGATCAGTTAGTACTAATTGGATGGCGAGTACATGTGGTGCATGTTTGTCCATCCTTGTGATACCTCACTTCAAAGGATGGACTCAAGCTTTATCCGGATAATATAAGAGGTGCTAGTTCACCATTGCTTTTTGTAGTTGAGTAGTATTCCAAACGACATTTTATTAATCCACTCATGTATTGATGGGCACTTGGGTTGTTTCCACATCTTTGCAATTGTTAATTGTGCTGCTATAAACATTCAAGTGCAGAGATATCTTTATTATAGAATGTCTTTTTTTCCTTTGGATAGATGCCTAGTAGTGGGATTGCTGGATCAAATGGTATTTCTATTTTTAGCGCTTTGCGGTATCTCCAAATTACTTTCCACAGGGTTTGTACTAATTTACAGTCCCACCACCAGTGTAAGAGTGTTCCAATCTCTCCACATCCACACCAGCATTTGTTGTTTTGGGACTTTTTGATAAAGGCCATTCTCACTGGACTTAGGTGATTATCTCATTGTAGTTTTGATTTGCATTTCCCTAATGATTAGAGATGTTGAGCACTTCTTTATATGTTTGCTGGTCATTAGTCTGTCTTCTTTTGAAAAGTTTCTGTTCATGTCCTTTGCCCATTTATTGATGGGGTTGTTTGATTTTTTCTTGTTGATTTTCTTAAGTTCTATGTAGATTCTTGTTATCAGCCCTTTATCAGATGTGTAGAAAGTAAATATTTCCATTCTGTAGGTTGTCTATTCCCTCTAATGATAGTTTCCTTGGCTGTGTAGAAGCTTGAGAAATTTAAATCTGTTTCCTGTCCTGCCCTCCATTCCTCACTCCTTCCTTTCTCTTCCCCTAGAAGGAGGCTCACAAATTCTCCCCTTCTCCTTCTCTTTAAGACCTCACATATGAATTGGCTATAATATACATTACATAAAAAGTTTGATAAATAAAATAAATGGGTAGATAATAAAGGAAATGTCTAAATGATACATATAGAAAAATTGCTTTGATTTAGCTAAGTCTATAAATATAGGTACATGAATATCTGTCAATAAAAGCCAAAATCTGTGGTTTTCAACCTTGGTTTTTTTATATTAGAGTTTATAAAATCTCAGAATCCTAATCTCAAACCCCAAAGGTTCTAATCAAAAAGGTCTTAATAAGGTGATTATGGTTAAGAGTTAGAGTCTTCATGCCTTTATCTAAGATTAAAAAAGAAAACCATTAATAATTATTACAATTAATAATAATACAACCAGTAAACATGTATGGAGTTTTACTATGGAAATAGTGATAAATATTTTACAGGCAATAGCTTTTTCAATTTTCACAGTATCTCCATGAAGTATGAACTATGAAAAACATCATGTTTACCACTAAAGCTGATAAAGGTCAGGAACTGTCTCAGGGTCACAACTGCAAAATGCAGAGCTCTCCTTAGGACTCTAAGGAACACAGGAACATAGGAGCCCACACTAAACAATAAGCTATACTTCCTTGTGTGAATCTATGATTAAGAACCATTGTCCTCTATGTTTGTATATATACCTGTGGATACGCACTTATACACATGTGTGTTGCAGAGAGAGAAAGAATGTGTGTATGTATATGTCCTGCCGCAGAGGCAGTTCTGCAGCTTAGGACACTTTTGCAGAAGAGCAAGCGATGTCCTCCTTCCAGGCTTTGCAAGTCCAAAGAGCTGCATGAGAGCAATGGTTCTGGTTCTTGATGGGACAAGGATAGAAGTTCACTGGAAAATGAAATGAGGATAGGAAGCAACATAGGAGGTCACCTGACACAAGCTTAAATTTGTTGTTTTACTGAAAACATGGTGTGCTCCCCGTTCCCCCTGCTGGTTGAAAGCTGCCATTTCATATGTATCACATTCCTCTCAGACCTCTTTTGTATACTCAGTAAAGGTAAAATAAAGACCAGCCATGACAGAACGACAAGAAGAAGGGGAGGAACGGTGGCTAGAACAGCCTGAGAACCAGCTAATTGGTGCTAAAAGTAGAGAGCTCTTCCCTTAGAAACATGTGCACACTTACAAGTTGCAGATTTGTAGGGGCTTCACAATTCTGCTGGGTCACCCTGGTCTAAGTGACCCACAAGTCCCTTGGATATTCAGCAAAGGCAGACTTAGTCAAGCATCATTTAGAAGAAACCATGCCCATCTCTTACTTCCAATTCTGTCTTCCATTTGTAAATAAAATAAGAAAACGTTGACCCAGAGAGGTTAAGAGACTCACCTGTTGCTACAGATCTGCTTAATGGCAGCCAAGCATGAAAGTTGAGTTTCCTGTTTCCAAAGCCCAGGTTCCCTTTCACCATCCACATTCTACTAGGCAGAAAGCACGGGAGTGAAAGCAAAGATTCCAGCACCAGACCTGCCCAGCTTCAAATCCTGGCTTTGAAATTTACCAGCTGTGGGACCTTGAGCAAGTGACTTAACTTCTCTGCCTAAGTGTCCTCATTTATATAATAGGAATAATGATATAATAATGAAAACTGATTTTGTAGTGCTTTGTGGAACAGTATCGGATATAGACTAATTTAATATATGTAAATGGCTTAGCACACAGTAATATAATAGATGTGTATATCATCATTATTGCTACTTTAATATTGTATATTATAATACCCAAGCAGTTAATCAGCACCCATCATACATAGCATGGCTTTCAGACTTGTCTTCCAAAATGTTCCAAGAAACTCTAAACCTTCTTATTTTCCTCATCATGAGGTAGAGAGAAAACAAGAACTGTTACAACATATTCGGGGATTTACAGCACAGTAATATGAAGATAGGAATAAAGACCTCTCTTAACTCTTGGGTCTATATACTCTATGACTTATTGCATGACCAGTGTATTCATGTATTAGGTTGAATTGTGTCCTCCCCAACCCCAAAATACATCACCTTCTCAGAGCCTCAGAATGTGATACGGAAGTAGGGTTATTGCAGATTTAATTAGTTGAGATGAGGTGGTACTGGAGTAGGGTGGGCCCTTAAGCCAATGTGACTGGTGTTCTTTTAAGAAGGAGACACACAGAGACAGAGGCACACACGTGGAGAAGGCCACAGAAGAAGAAACTGGACTTATATGTCTACAAGCCAAAGAACACTAAGGATTTCTGGCAATACCAGAAGCTATGTGACAGGCACCGAACAGATGCCATTAGAGAGAACGTGGCACTGCTGACACCTTGATTTCAGACTTTTAGGCTCTAGAACTGTGAGAGAATAAATTTATGTTGTTTTAAGCCATCCAGTTTGTGGTAATTTGTTGTGGCAGCCATAGGAAACTAATACACCCAGCCTACATTCTAGACCATTACAAGACCTGCTCTGAGCTGCAGTCTCTGGTTCTGTGAGGAGGGACTGAGGGAGCTTTGTTCCCTCAACAGCTGACACGAGCAGAATATGAATGGAAAAAAACAAACACAAAAACAAAAACCAACACTGGGACTGGGAGCCCTGAATGCTGAGTTCAGATAATTGAATTTCCTATAAAATTCATCCCTATCAAACCATCTTAACAGTTTAAGTGCTTAGTTTTAACATTTATGTTTTCCAATTTAATCCCTTTGATACTATTATAAGTTGTTTACCCTGGGAAACAGCCTCTGAAACTCTGAGATTTGCATGTAGAAGGACTTTTGGGGAGTACTTGCTGTAACTATATCTGTGAGTGATGAAGAAAGAGTATTGGGCAGAGGAAGTTGAACGCAATGCAATTGCAGCAGAGGTCCCAGCTGATCCTACAGGGAGCACCAGAGCTGGAATAGCCCCTTGGAGTTGTCTCAACTGAGGCAAGGAGGCCAGGCCTTTGTACCTCCCACATAGACCAGCCATTAGATATAGGCTGCCCGTAGGGAGGAGCCATAACTTTGGGCAAGGCAGCTTCCTTCAGCCACAGGCAATTCTTGGTGATGGACAAGGCTGTGAACAACCAGGGGAAATGAGCGCCTGGGTCCTAAGGAGGGATCTACAGGGTGGACTGCAACATCCACCACGTGTATGGATGAAATCTTTCTGCCTAATCATCATGTTATTAGAATGTGGCCATGAGAGATTCCACACCTGGACTAGAATTGCCTTACTCTGGGAAAGATGCCATTGGGTGCTCTCAAATCATGTATCTAGTGACAGGTCTGAGAGGTCTCAGCCCTGCATTCTTATGCTTTCCCCTTTCCCACCCACACATTTTCCATTTCCGCCCATTGCAACAACTCTTAAATATCCATCTTAGAATGGTTTCTGATCAGATTTGGACCATAGTGATTTCTTCTCCTTTTCTCTAGTTACCCATGACAGAGAGGATAATCATTTGACCACTTGGAAATTGCATTTATTCACTTGTTCACTTATACATTCATTCATTCATCAGCCATCACACATTTTTAATACCTACCCTAAGCACTACACCAAGCACTGAATATATATATATATATATATATAAAAAGCACTAAGCACTGAATATATATATATATATATATAAAAAATATATATGCGTGTGTATATATGTATATATATATATACATATATAAGAAGAGATTATAAAAGGCCTCACATGTCAAGATGAGGAGGTGGATTTTATCTACACATAATGAAAACACTTGTAAGGGTTGTGGGCCGTACTGTGCCTTGAACAGATTTGTGTTACTGCAAGATCCCTCTGTGGGGGTTGGAGAGGATGGATTGCACAGAGGGCCTGCAGTACAGGGGAGGCAGCTGTGAGTATGGAGAATTTAAACACCAGTTGGGTGTCTCTTCAAACCTCAGCTGAGTCCCCATCTTCTGTCCTTCTCTGACTAAGAATCACTTTGCTGTCCCACAAGTTAGCACGTTGCCAAGGAGCAAGTCGACAGCCTGCTTAGGTGGGAGTACTCACATCATCCTCCTAAGCCACCAGCAGCCCCTGGGGCTCATCCTCATGCCTTTGTATGTGCAAACACACCATGTATGTGACCTCAGGTCACAAACACTCAACACACAGCTGTCCACATAGACTGGACGTCTCTAAAAAATGAGCCCCCAAAGGATGCATCATTCCATTTTGGCTTTTCTCTCAACAGCCTCAATAGCTTTGGGCCAGTCTCTAATAGGTAAAGTAAATCTCTCAGTGGGTGGGATTTCCACATTAAATACAAATTATAGATCTAAGCATATGACCTATCAGCAGAGACTGTATCCCAAAGAAACAAAAGCAGGAGAATTTTTTTTTTAAATTAGCCTACTATAGAATGGAAAATAGAAGATAAAATATCATATTAATAATAATTATTTGAAGGTAATAGCTTATATTCTTTAAAGCAGTTCCAACATAAATGTCACTGTAAGAAATGATATTTCACTTCAATACTAACAAATCAGGTACTTAGTGTGCTAGGGGAGAAATGATTGGAACTACTTTAAAGTCGTGTTAACCAGAGAAACTGCAAAAATATTTATATTCTTATGAAGGAAGGAAGGAATGCCCCTCATGGGTGTATTTAAGGTTCCTCCATCTTTTGGATAAATGGTAATGCTAAACAAAAAATGGAAAGATGACCTTAGAATAATAACCTCAAGACTCAATTGGGACTCAGCTTCCCAATGTACAAAAATCATTTGCAATATGTTCAGGATGGAAATTTCTATACTGCTTTATAGCTCATGAACTTCATTATACACTTCAAATAAAAATCTCCAAAACACCCAACTCTGGGCTGGCTTCCATCCCCTGGGGTGGGCCCTCCCATATGTAAAATTACTCACCATTCCCTCACTCGCTGTCTGCAATTCTGCTCAGTTACTAAACAATGTTTGTAAGGACAGGAAAACAAAAGGAAGGAGAAAACCAATCCATTCAGAAAGGTGTTTCATATTGAGAATGGGATTGTTAAACCAAAATCAGGTCTGGCACTGTTAGTGTTTTCTCTAGCCAGTTCTCTCTCCAGTCTTCCTTCTAGAGACCCCATGCAAAAACCAAGTGGAAAATTTCACAAGATAAATGCTGTGCCAATACCTGAAAGCTGTCCCGTTGGGTGAGCCTCTTTCATTTTTTGTCATTGCCAACAGTCACTATGTACATTGCATGGAAGATAGAGAGTTGGTGAGGGCCTGAACCTATGAGTCATTTAGTTTTCAAGCAGCTTCAACGGACTGAGTTTCCAGTTGATTTACAGTGAATGGCATTGATACTTATGTGACTAGAAGCTGTTAGTCTGAGTTGGTACTTGGAGAAACAAAGTCAATAAAAGTCACCAATCCAATAAATCTGTGAAGAGCCTCATGGAGTTGTCTTTTAAACAAATGACTGGCTCGCTTCCATCAAGAGGCTTGCAGCTAGAGAGACACAAACCTATGCCCATAAGGCCTTAGGTCACAATACTGCAGGTTTATTTTCCCAATCTTTTAGGTTTTTAATGACAAGAGAGTGAGGAGATTTCTGATGATATGACCTCCAACGACATTCATGTATGTATTTTCTTTCAGCCTTCACAAAGATCTTGTATGGCAGAAAGTAGAGGAATGATCATTAATATCCACATTTGACATACAAAACATAGGTTCGCAGTGGTAAGGAGCTTTCAACACTGTTGGTTAGTGGAAGAGTGAGGTCTTTGGTGCCCAATTCCTTGTCCATCCAATGATCTCTACTCTTCTTATTCTGCTTCTACATGAATGTGGGTAAATAGGATTAATTTGGCCTACTAATTTATTAATTTGGTAACAAAATAATTCTTTAAAGCAACTGTTTAGACTAAGTGGCTATTTGAGAGAAATAATGAGTCAAAATGAGTGTTCAGTAGCCCTGAGTCAAAAAAACTCTGTGGGTGGGAAGTTAGATAATGTTCATCATCTGTTACTCCTTGAAATCCCATTGATAACTAACAGATTTCTACAAGCTCAGAATTGCATAGGTGCCAAGTACTTCCTGGCTGTTCCAGGACAGTATTAAAGCCAACACAATGAGCTTAACATTGGTGAGGTACAGGTATTCTTGGGGTTTAATGGAAGTCACCAAGGAGTAGTCTGTCAGCTTGCCTAAGAAATTTACAAGAGTCTATTACCCTGGCACTGTCAAAATGTCCCTTATTTATGCTCCTCTATGGGGGAGTGGGAAGAGCAGCCAGGACAGCCTGCTGCAGCAGCTATCCAGCTGCTCATGCAGTTAATATAGCTGTAGAAAGAATGTGATTTATACAAGAGCACTTTCCCTTGACACTAGCACATGAGTCTGAGACCCACTCATTCTAGGAGACCCACGTCATGCACACACATTTTTTTGTGCTCTGGAGACAGCAGAATAACCCAGAGAGCTGCAGATTTAGATTGGCACAGAAGACAGAGAAACACAATAGATATATGTATTGACAGTATCTGTAGACCAACCGATGCCATTTATGATGCATATGGGACTAGCCCACTGGTTGCAAAAGGCAACAACAGATTTTCATGCATAGAATAGAGCCAGGCAGGCAGAGATTCTGTAAAAGTTGGAGTTGCACATCAAAGTGAGGCTCCCTGCTGCTTGCTGGTGAGGGCAGCTGATTAAGGAACCAAACTGGAAGGCATTGCTTCCAGGATCAACACAGATGATGCTGAAAGTGAAAGCAATCATTGAACCAATTCTTCTTCAAGACAAGGTAGTGAGGTCAGACTCTACTTGGAGCCTTCTTCCCCTTTCAGGTGAGAAAGCAGGAATGAGGGGTCTATGATAGCTTCCCATTTCTGGGTATTGCTGCTGAACAGCAAGTATAGGTGTCCTGCAGCTTCACATACCTGGTATGGGCCCTGGTTGCAGCCACAGTAGCTGCTTTCCATGGTGTAGCTTCTGGACACCCCCATCTCTCTCCACACCACCACCCGGGCCGTGGAGGCTCGAGATTTCTCCACGAGGAAGCTGCAGCTGCTCATTGTGAATGCTGGTGCTAGCTTATCAAGAATTTTGGGAAGAGTCTACAAAAAAAAAAAAAAAATCAAACAGTGATCAGTTGCCAGTGATTGGAAAATATTCATCATAAAAATGGCTTCTTAATATTTACTATGCATCTCTATGTGTCAAATACTTAATATATGTTACTACAAATCATTTATTGACTGTACAAAATGGATGCCAAATTTTATCACTTTTCAGATGAGGAAACTGAGGCTTAGAAAAGTTATAAATAAATAGCTTAAGTCCTACAACTATAAAGCATCCAGAATGGGATCCAAATGCCAACCAGGCCAACTTCAAAGACCATCATCTCTCAAGGCCACTTTTCTGCATTGCTGTGGACCTGTGCTGTGTGCATATATTCCGCCTCATACGTGGATGAGCTGAGCCTATGAAAAGTCACAGATTTCACAGGGGACTGAAATTTAAAAAGTGACTCCATCCATTCTTTCCAGCTTCACTGTTTCTTAGCAGGGTCAGACGAGGGACTCTTCACTTATTTCAGAAGGTCATAGGGGCCAGTGATGATTCTTAAGCAGGAGCACTTATAAAGTTCCCTTGTTTCCTACAAATATGTAATGGCCAAAATGAACGTGTTAGTCTCAACCTCTAAGCCACAAATCTGAGGCTGATGAATTATAATACTCCGAAATCCATCCTCTCTGGGTTCAAATGCCCCACCTTTTCCTGGGGTAAAAATATTTTATTTATAACCACTTCATCTCCATTTAGAAGGCATCTGTAAATTCTTGTCACTCTGACTGACAAAGAGGGGGCTTCCAGCTACTGGACCTCCTCCCCAGAGGATGATGACTCAGGGTTGACAGTCCTTGACAGTACTGCACTTAGACAGTCACAGAACTTGGGACATTAACAGGAAGGGTTTTCTCACTTCAGAGTTTACAGAATATGCACAAACTAACACATAATATAAAACTTATGCACTTTAAACAATGAAGCTTTAGGCTTTTAGACAATATGGGAAGAAGATAGAGAAGCATAACAAATTGATGAGAATATGAATGAAAAAATTATTTGTAAAGAAATGTTGTTTGGTTAATTTCTAGAACATTGAACAAATCTGTTAATCTCCCTGGTACTTACTTTCCTCATGTTTAATATAATTTAATTATATTATATAATTATTAATTTTATTATGAATTATATATTACATATAAGTATATATTAACATAATTATTAATACAATTTACTATGATATCTAAGTTCTCACATAGCCTCCAGACCTACAGATCATTTGACAAAGGGAAATGAAATGCTAATATTTTTCTCACTTGAGTTTCTGCAATTGCCTCAATGAAATCCTAATTGATTTCAACATATCCACTCTTCTCCCTTCCTCCCTGTAATTCCTGACTCCATTTGTTTTCTTTCAAAATATTCATCACAATTGCAATTAAATTATTGAGTATATATTAGTTGTTTATTTTCGACCTTCTTGGCAGCCTAGAAATTCCATGAGGGCAGATCTGTGTCTTATTTACAGGAAAATCTCTGCACATTGAGCAGTGTGTTGCTCATAGAGGGTACTCCGTAATTATCTGCTGAAATAAATAGAATTTTCTAGTCCAAACCCTTAAGTAGCTGCTTAAATAGACATAAATACACTACGTATATATACTACAACTAGAGTGATTGAGAATATCCATGTTTCATTCTGTTGCAGAAAGTTTACTCTTGCACCATTTAAATGATCTCCCCTTTCTTAAGTGAATTTATTTTTTCTTTTGTAATTTGTATCTCTTTTAAATATATAAAAAAGACTTTTTAGAGCAGTTTTAGGTTCAACAGTACAGAGGTGTTCATATATAGGAGCACGGGGTATATGGAATGGCCTCTCTCATTATTAACATCCCGCAACAGAGTGGTACATTGGTTGTAATTGAGGAACCTACACTGACACATCATCATTACCTAAAGTCCATAGTGTACCTTAGGGCTCATTTTGGTGTTATATGTCCTATGGGTTTGGACAAATGTATAAGTGATGTGTATCCAACATTATAGTATCATACAGAATGATTTCACTGCCCTAAAAATCCTCTGTGCCCTACCTATTCATCCCTCTTTTTTTTTCTTCCCCCAAACTCCTGGCAACCACTGATCTGTTTATGGCCTCCATAATTTTCCTTTTTCTAGAATGTCATATAGTTGGAATTATATAGTAGTAGCTTTTCCAGATTGGTTTCTTTTAGTCAGTAATACCAAGTTCAGGTTCCTCTATGTCTTTTCCTGGCTTGATGGTTCTTTATTTTTAGCACTGAATTATATTTTACCATCTAGATGTACCACAGTTTACTTATTCATTCACCTACTGAAAGATGTCTTGATTGCCTCTCAGTTTTGGCAATTATAAATAAAGCTGCTATAAACATCTATGTGCAGGGTTTGTGTGTGTGTGTAGAAATAAGTTTGCAATTCTTTTAGGTAAATATCAAAGAGTGAGATTACTGGATTATATGGTAAGAGTATGTTTAGTTTTGTAAGAAATCATCAAACTGTCTTCCAAAGTGCCTATACCAGTTTGCATTCCCACCCACAATAAAAGAGAGCTACAGTTGCTCCACATCCTGTCAGCATTTGATACTGTTGGTGTTCTCGATTTTGGCCATTCTAACAGGTATGCAGAGAGAGCACATCGTTGTTTTAATCTGTATTTTTCTGATTACATATGATGTGGAGCATCTTTTCATACACTTATTTGCTATCTGTAGATCATGCTGGGTGAGGTTTCTTTTTATAGATTATGCTTTAGATGTCATATCTAAAAAGGCATTGCCAAGCCCAATGTCACCTAGATTTTCTCCCATATTATCTTCTAGGTTTATCATTTTACATTTTATACTAAGTCTGTGATCCATTCGGAATAATCTTTGTCAATGGTGTAAGGTCTGTGTCTAGATTTTATTTTTTTATTTTTTATTTTTTTGCATGTGGATATCCAGCACCATTTGTTGAGAAAACTCTTTGCTCCATTGTATTGCTTTTACTCTTTTGTCAAGGATCAGTTGACTGTATTTATGTGGGTCTATTTCTGGGCTCTCTATTCTGCTCCATTGATCTATCTCTATTCTTTCACCAATGCCACACTGTCTTGTATACTACAGCTTTATAGCAAGTCATGAAGTTGGATAGTGTCAGTCCTCTAACTTTGCCCTTCTCCTTTATATTGTGTTAGCTGTGCAGAGACTTTTGTCTCTCTATATAAACTTTAAAATCAGTTTACTAGTGCCTACAAAATAACTTGCTGGTATTTTGATTGGGATTGCATTGGATCTATAGATCATTTGGGAATAACTGACATCTTGACAATATTGAGTCTTCCTATCCATGAACATGAATATCTTTCCATTTATTTAGTTTTTTTTTTAATTTTGTTCATCAGAATTTTGTAGCTTTCCTTATGTAGATCTTATTCATATTTTGTTAGATTTATACCTAAGTATTTCATTTTACGGATGCTAATGTAAATGGCACTGTGATTTTAATGTTAATATCCACTCGTTCATTGCTAGTATGCAGGGAATTAATTCGATTTTGTATATTACCCTTGTGTGATGCGACCTTTCCATCATGACTTATTGGTCTCAGGAATTGTTGGGGTTATTTTTGTCAATTCTTTCAGATTTTCTACATGGATGATCACAACATCTGTGAACAAAAACAGTTTCATTTCATCCTTCCAATCAGTACGCCTTTATTTCCTTTCCTTGTCTTATGGCATTGCTATAATTTCCAGTACAATTGTTTTAATGTCCATGGGATCTGTAGTTATGCCCAATGTTTTATTTCTGATACTAGTAATTTGTGTCCTCTCTCTTTTTTCCTAGTTAGAATGGCTAGAGGTTTATTGATTTTATAATTTTTTTTCAAAGATCCAGTTTTTAATTCATTGATTTTCTCTTTTAATTTCCTATTTTATACCTCATTGATTTCTGCTATATTTTTGACAAATAAAAATTGTATATATTTTATTAATCCACTCATGTATTGATGGGCACTTGTGTTGTTTCCACATCTTTGCAATTGTGAATTGTGCTGCCATAAACATTTGAGTGCAGATGTCTTTTTTATAAAATGTCTTTTGTTCCTTTGGGTAGCCACAAAAAACAATGGTGATCTAACACCTCTTGTATTATCTTGAATAGAGCTGGAACGCATTCTAAGTGAAGTATCACAAGAATGGAAAAACAAGCATCACACATACTCACCATCAAACTGGTATTAACTGATCAACACTTAAGTGCACATTTAGTAATAACATTCATTGGGTGTTTGGCAGATGGGAAGAGAAAGGTGGGGATGAGTATATACACACCTAATGGTTGCAGTGCACACCGTCTGGGAGATGGACACACTTGAAGCTCTGACTCGGGTGGGGCAAAGGCAATATATGTAACCTAAATGTTTGTACCCCTGTAATATGCTGAAATACAAAAATTAAAAAATTGTATATATTTAAGATGTACAAAATGATGTTTCGATCTGCTCTATTTTTTTCTTTTCTTCTGCTTACTTTGGACTTAATTTGCTCTTCTTTTTCTAGTTTCCTAAGGTGGAAGCTTAGATGATTGATTTTAGATCTTTTCCCTTTTCTAAGATATGCGTGTGATGCTATAAATTTCCCTCTAAGTATTGCTTTTGCTGCATTTCACAAATTTTGATAAGTTGTGTTTTCATTTTAATTCAAAGTATGTTCTAATTTCTCTTGAGAATTCTCCTCTCACTCATGTGTTATTTAGAAGTGTGTTGTTTAACCTCCACCTATTTTGGAATTTTCAAATTATCTTTCTATCATTGATTTCTACTTTAATTTGATTGTGTCTGAGAGCAGATATTGTATGATTTCTATTCTTTTAAGTTTAAGGTATGTTTTGTGGCCCATAATGTGGCCTATCTTGGTAAATATTCCATGTGAGCTTGAAAAAATTTGTATTCTGTTGTTAATGGATGAAGTATTCTATAGATGTCAATTATATCCAGTTGATTGATGGTGTTGTTG